CAGGGCAATATCTACTAATAATCTTACAGTGCAAGGCAAGTCTACTGTTGAATTTTTCTGTTCAGATTGTGCATTAGCTAAGAACCACAAGCTTCCCTTTGGAATGGCTTATTCAACAACAACTCAAAATCTTCAACTTTTGCACTGTGATTTGTGGGGACCTACCTATGTTACATCTAGTAGTGGTTTTAAGTATTACTTACTACTTGTTGATGATTTTAGCAAATATAGTTGGTTCTTTCCCTTGAAGTCAAAATTTGATTTATTTTCTACATTTGTTGTCTTCAAAAGCTATGTAAAAAATTTACTTGGTAATAAATCAAAGTGTTGCGTTCAGATTCAGAGGGTGAGCTCACTGGTCATTCTTTTGCATCATTTCTCAATGTACATGGTATACTACATCAATTTAGCTGTCCACATACTCTTGAACAAAATGATTGTGCTGAGAGAAAGCACAGACATCTTGTTGAGACAGCTCAAACTTTGCTTGTTGTTTCTCATGTCCCTAATGTCTTTTGGGTTGAAGCCTTCTCCACTGCCATATATCTTATTAATCATATTCCAATCTTTGGCATTACCAAGTCAACTTGGGGAAATTCTTTTCAATTAGTATCCGAATTATTCCAAACTCAAAATATTTGGTTGCCAATGCTTTCCATGGCTTAAACCTTATGTTCATAGCAAATTGGATGCTAAAAACAAATGTTGTGTATTTTTGGGATATAGTCTCCAACATAAAGGATATAGGTGTTTTGACCCTATTGCCAATCGAGTCTATATATCACGACATGTGGTTTTTTATGAAGGCACTTACCCTTTTTTAGTCACTGCAGCTTCAACAATTTAGTTCAAAAAGTGTTTCTCCAGTATATTATCCTTTTCTGGATCTTTATTGACACGCCCCGACCCTGATAATCCCCGAATACCAGGGTAGACACGTGCTGCCCGACACCCAATGCCTGCTCCGTGGTCTCTGCGCCCGTAGCCAGAGATTACCAACTCCCAGCCCAATACTTGCTCCGTGGTCTCTGCGCCCGTAGCTAGGGATTATTTCTCCCGGCCTAAATGCCAACACCAGATCCTCGCTCCAGGCGGCATAGTGTCTACTAGGTACGCACAAATAGTTACGCCTCTCATAAATAACCACTTCATAGTATAAAGTCATCCATCGTCTATACTATAAAGAGGGGTTTCGAAAACATGTTCTAGCATCCTATTGTCATTCATCGGATAGTCTACCAGTTCATGGTTTTTATAGAAAATATGATATATTAAAATATAGCTCAAAATAGGCTAACAAATATTTCCTCACCAAAACACGAGACGAAATCAATAAATTCAGTAAACAGGCTTAACATCAATCGAATCATAAATTCGTAGGCATGCTAAACATTTATACAATTAAATTATAAAATCATGTAATTTTAGAAAGGGTCCACTCACAGTACTTAGCCGCCAAAAGCTGCGCCACTAGCGAAGACGGAAACGTCACAATAATTGTCCCTAAGTACAAAAATGTACAATTTATCAAACTACCCAACTATAGAATTTCAAGAATTGGAAATGGGTCTTGGGTTTGGATCCGGAATAGGGTTTAGGTTTAAATAGGATTATGATTTATTGGGTTTTGGGTTTAGGGTCCTAAGGTTAAAGGGTTTAGGTTATAAAGGGTTTTAGGGTGAAGAAAAGGGGTTTGGGCTTAAGCCCACACACACACACACACACACACACACACACACACACACACACACACTACAAACATACACACACATGCACGACATGCATATACACACGCACACATGCACTTAAACATACACACACACACACACCTAAACACACACACACACACACACACACACACACACACACACACACACACACACACACACACACACATACACGGGCTGCACAAGTAGGGCACAGCCCTCACAACACACACACACACATAAGGCCCTAAGGCCTCATTAAAGGACTAGGCTTAGAGCCCCTTTAAAGAAACCGGCCCAAGGCTCTTTTAAAAATAAGGCCCGAGGCCTTTGGGTTTTAAAAACAAATAACAAAATTTAAAAACCAAAAGGGCTGGGGTTTTGGGCTAAGGTGCAACGGGCTTAAGGCCCGTGCAAGAGGGAAGGCCGGATGGCCTGGTTGTCGAGAAAGAAGAAGGCCAAAGCTGCTACAGCTCCGGTCACCTGAAAACATGAGCTTTAAGCTACGATCTAAGTACGAACATGAAGAACAAGGTGAGGGGAAGAGATTGCTACCTTCCAATAACTATGACACGGTCGGAGGTGACCGGAAAAGCCCTCGAAATGCACGGGTTCGTCGAAAAATGGGTGTGCTTACCCAAATCGTTTCCAAGGCAAAACCTACGTAAAAAGGGAAGAACAAAACACAACCAAGCATCATGCTAGGAACGAGAATGAGGGATTCGAGACTTACCCCAACGGAAAAAGGAAAGAAAGTTCACCGGAGCTTTGCTCCGTGCCTCGAGTTCACAGAAACAAAGTCCTAGGCTTGTGGCAAGCCTCTCCTGATGGTGACACTGTCCTAGTGAGTCCAGGGGGAGAGAGAGATGCGAGAGGTTGAAGGAGAGAGATACACGGGAGAGCTGAGAGAGCTACGTTAGAGAGAGACGAAGAAGAATGAAGTTTCAGGGGTAGGGGATAGAGAGAGGGAAAAGTAAGAGGGTTAGATGACTGCCACGTGGCAATTGGGGGGTGGAAATAACAAATAATGTAATTATTTAGGGGTGGTTGTAACATTTATTTTAGCAAGTATACTCAACATTCTCCCACTGGTGATGCATCTCCAACTCCACAGTGCACTTCTCCACCTATCACTACTAGTAAGAGTTCATCCCTAACTCTAAGTACTTATAATCCTGTCTTTATTTAAGAACGTTCTGTTTTTCCAACAACTGAGACAAGTCATCTTCCCATTTTTGGAAATACGTATCCTATGATTACAAGATCTAAAGCAGGGATTTACAAGCCTAAGGCTTATGCAGCAACCAAGGATCCACTCCCAGTTGACCTTGAATTTGTTCCAAGCACCTATTTGCAGGCATCAAAGTATGCACACTGGAGAGCTGCCATGCAGGATTAATACAATGCATTATTGTCTACAAGAACTTGGTCTTTAGTTTCTTCCCATCTTTATCAAAATGTAGTAGGCTGCAAGTGGGTGTTTCGTATTAAGAAAAAGCCTGATGGCACTGTTGATCGGTACAAAGTTCGACTAGTGGCAAAGGGCTTCCATCAGTAAGAAGGAATTAATTTTCAAGAAACCTTCAGTCTAGCTGCTAAACCGGTTACAATTCGGATCCTTCTTACCCTTGTTGTTCAATACAATTGATTTTTAAACCAATTAGACATTAGCAATGCATTTATTCATGGTGATTTAAAGAATGATGCTTATATGCAACAACCCCCAGGTTTTGTTGATCCTCTCTATCCTAATCATGTGTTCAAGTTAAGAAAATCTTTGTATGGTCTCAAACAAGCTCCTCGAGCTTGGTTTGATAAATTGTTTCAAGCGTTGCATACACTTAGGTTCAAACAATCTTCATCTGATGCCTCTTTGTTTGTGCTTAATGGTCCTTAGTTGGTTATTGGTCTTGTTTATGTGGATGGCATTCTAGTCACTGAACCTAACTCACACCTTTGCCAACAGTTCATTCAACAGCTTAGTGATCGATTTCTAGTGAAGGATCTTGGTTCTTTACACCACTTCTTGGGACTGGAAGTACAAAGATCTACCAAAGGGATCTTTCTTCATCAGACAAAATACTTACTTGATCTTCTCAAGAAAACAAATATGGAGGGTGCAAAACCTTGCTGCATACCCCTTGGTTCCAAGAAAATGGATCACAGTGGGCCATTTCTATCCAATCCCACTGAATATCGATCTATTGTTAGAGGATTCCAATATCTCATTTGGACTTGACCGGTTCTTGCATTTGCTGTAAATAAGATATGTTAAGTTAGCATGCTCCGAGGGAACAACATCTTTAAGCAGCCAAAAGAGTTCTCTGATTCCTCAAAGGATCTGTTTCACATGGTCTATGTTTATAAAGGGCCCTATTGCTCTCTCAATATACTCAGATGCTGATTGGGCTGGCTGCACGTTTGATAGGTGATCAACTAGTGGCTATTATGTGTTTCTTGGTCCTAACCTCATCAGCTAGAGTGCTAAGAAACAAAGCACTGTTGCTCGTTCCTCTACAGAAGCTGAATATCGGTCTTTGGCCCACACGGCTGCAGAGCTCACTTAGGTTTGCAAAATTCTTTGTGATCTTCACTTCCCTCTTCCTAGACTGCCTACACTATGGTGTGATAACATCTGAGCAATCTCGTTAGCATCTAATCCTATTTTTCATGCTTGGACTAAGCATGTTGAGATTGACTACCACTACATTAGAGAATTGGTCATGGCCAATCTTATTAAAGTGCAATTTGTTTGCAGTGAAGACTAATTGGTTGATCTTCACACCAAGTCCTTGTCTAAAAACAGATTCAGCTATTTGTGTTCCAAGCTTCCAATTGGAATCAGCTCTGATTCCCCTTCTCGCTTGAGGGGGTGTATTAGGGAGGATGACAAGTCATCCATTTCTGTTACTGTAAAATAGTTTGGTAAAACTAAATGTGGTTAGTTTTGTTAATAGTTGTGATTAGTTAGAATGTTTAAAGGATTAGTTAAGGCAGTTAAGGGTACAAATGTAAAAAGCGAAAGACTATATATATTCACATATGTGTAATTGATTATTGTGCGAATGAAAATAATCTTGCATAAGAAGTTTATTGTTTCTATATAGCCTTCTCTTCTCTTGTAATCATGTTAGAGTCATCTGGTTTTCAATGGGACAAACCGATCCATATGGAACAAGGACAAATCACCGAGAAGAGGGACCAAGCATATATATGTATCATCATTGCAACTGCTTCCTCCTATTAAGTGAGTAGTTGCAATCAGTTGTCAAAGAAACCATAACCGCATCATTCTAATTTCAAATTAGTTTCTTATATTTTTCCCTCCAAATGGTTGGTATCCGGTTACAACCCTACATCAAGTCTTAAAATATATAGCTCATATTACTTGTGTTACTGCATGACTTAGTGTTTGATCATGCTCACCAAAGAAAACCTTACACGTTCATGTCTAAGCCCACATTTGGTATATCAACAAAATCAACTTTAGAGGCCGAAGAACGAGCTGAAGCGACTACAGTGGTAGGGAATGCTCGGCAGGAGCGTAATTAGATGGGAGCAAGTCCTCCCAGTTCTCCAAGAGATGCTTGTGGACTTTTCGGAGAGGGACTCTAGCAAGACCAGTCACCTTACAAATCTCTGCCCGAGTTTTTCTCGTCTTCAAGCTGGCAGGCTAAATAAATTGCGGCTGCGGAGATGCTAATGTGGTTCCTACGCGTGCAGAAGCATTTGTTGATTGCCAGTTCTACAAGAAAGCATGTGAATCATGGTCAGACTTGATAAGGAGAACAACTCAAGTTCGACACTATCAGCATATAGCACAACTTAAGTGATAAAATGTCAAGTTCAACTCCGCAGTCTTTCAACTCCGTGGTCTTTCAACTTGTCCATATCGGTCGGACCGATATGGAATTGCTGTTGATGGGCTGACTAAGCTGCAGTGCTTCTCCAAGTATCTTAATGTACTTACCAATGTCCTCCTGGGGCACAGTGGCTGCAATCGAGATTTCCTACAATACAAAAATCAAATTCCAAGTCACCACAAAACTCGAAAACCCATCATCAAAATCCAGACTTTTGATCAGAAATCAACTCCAAATGCATTCAATTACAGACCCAATTTGCTCTAATCAGTGTAATTACCTGGTGGGTTCTGGGCTTCTCGGATAGCCTGGACCAGAGCAACAGTGGCGAGAATTTCAACGCTGCGATTCCTTAAGTGGTGGAGCAGCAGTCCCTGAAACTGAAGAGCTTAATCGCGTGGTCCGATACGTATGCATAACCTTTTGTTTTGATGATTTGAATGACTTATGAAACACTAAAAACATATTCATTCATTCTCAAAGTGTTTATACTTGTTGTAAAAGTGACTGGAAGGTTGATCACTAATCCACTTGAATTTGTCTTTATTGGATGGAATGTTAGGTGACTCCACTAATATGTCTTTCACTATGTTGCTCGTGATTTGCTTCTATAAAAGTAAGTCTTATGGAACACAACATACCTAAGGATGAAAGTAAGAAGTTCACGGAAGAGGAAGAGAGAAAAGAGAGGAAGAGGAGATGAGATAATAGAAAGAGTTATTTTTGTATTTCTATTATTTTAAATTATAATAAAAGCATCACTGCTGTCCCGAGGACGTACTCCAGTCACATTGACTGTAGAAGAACCTCGTAAATTTTGTGTCTTGTTTTATTTATTTCACTGCACACACTGTCGATTTTACAACAATATTCAATTTAAGGAGAAATTTTTTGGTAACATAATTCAGTACACGAAGTATTATAATACAAATGGTTAAATTTTAATTTTAAACGTCCAACTACTTATATTATAATATTTGACCAACTACTTAAGTTATGATATTTAATATAGTGAAATTTGTTTCCGACACATTAAAAAAATCTCTCCATTTAAGGGTGACAGTTGTTTCGTGATTACCGACCAAATAATATTTTTGTTTTGGTGGATAGCGTAGTCTGCGTAGACACTTGATAAGATTTTGTCGATGGGTCCATATTTGATACCGGCAGGATTCACCTTCAAAGTATCAAACTTTGGGTCCCACTGTAATTCAATCAATTTTGTCAAAGCAACATCTTGTAGGAGTGCGAACATTTATCAGTTTACAAGAAAAATGTTTCCGAATTTCTTTCACTTGAATAATTGAATTTATAAAAAAAAAAAAAAACCAAAAAAAAAAAAAAAAATTCCTGCACTTTTGAATTCATCTACTCCAAAACTGGAACGTTTAAGAACCTAATCAACTACATAGTTTTGCCCTATGAAAAACATATCAAGAACCGAGTGTGACCGTGCGCATCACCACCGGTCACCAGACTCTGGGCAGCACACAGTTGCAATTGCAGGATAATGCAGACTTGAACAATGGTCCTCAACACATATCTAGACATCATCGACCACTGCCCGTAGAAGTCACCAGTTCTCTACCCTTCTCTGCTTGCTTCAAAGTCTTACTAAATTCTCGTGCGCTCTGATAGAGAAGGACGGAACTTGTTAAAACTTACCATGCATCAACAAATTTCCATGCTAAGATATAGGCGTCTATGAAATTATTTGCAGATATTAAGGCATCCATGTCAAGATCAAGATGTTCATGCCAAGAAACTAAACGAGTAGGTTTCATACATAGGTCGGATTTCTGAATTAATTATTCCCATCAACCACTATGTTATCTTATGAGAAAATGTGACATCTGGTGATTGTGTTGGGCACGACACAGGCATACAAAGGCATTCCTACAAGAAATTCCAACAGCACATAGTTTATGACTCCAAATACATCGGACATTGTCCTCGGATAAACAATATGGTTAGCTGTCGAGATCAATCGAAACTCAATGCGTGGAAACCTATCTAATGCTTATTATGCTTTAAATTTTAGTATTTACATAATAGAACACCATCTGCTGAGCTAGGATAAAACATCAATTTAGCATTCCAGGTCTAATTTGTCATTCTCCGATTCTGAGGAAATCCTCTGCGTTTTTAGCATAATTCTTACCAAAAACCTTACGTTCTAGTTAATTATGGGTATTACATAGTACAAAACGTAACAGACAAAACGGGAACACCAAAACAAGGCTGGCACAAAAAATTTACCCAACGAGAAAACTAAGTTCAGTAGTCTGACATGTCAATCACATTTTTTTCTGCAGGAATGCAAAATCACACAGATTTCTGTAAAGGAACATGCTCATCCAGACACATCTCAACATGCAGTAACTGGAAGGGAGTGAATCTCAAAGTTCCTACAGCCAAGGAAAGCAATGATGTGGAGATGTAGATCCAAGAAGGTAACCACCAGCCTCTCACCCTTTCCAACTCTAAATAACTCCCACAGCCTCTCAGCTTCACTTGCAGAATGGATGAAGTTAATCCTCATACAAAGGGTGAATGTTCTTGGCAAGTAGCTTCTGCCTTTGGTCTTCTGACAATCTTGGGTTGCAACTAAGTCGGCTAAGGAAACTAATGATGTACAGATGTAGATCCAACTAGGTGATCGCCAACCTCTCACCCTTTCCAACTCTAAAATAACTCCGATTGCCCCTCAGTTTCACTTGCAGAATGGATCAAGTTAATTCTCATAAGAAGGGTGAAAGGCCTTGGCAAGTAAGAACATTTTGGCTTTGGTCAGATGACAATCAAGGGTTGCAATCAAGCCGGTTAGAAAACTAATGACGCATGAATGGATCCAACTAATCTCTGATTGCTCTTCTGGGTTTGCCACTAACTTGCAAAATGGATTCAGTCAAGCTTCATACAAAGGGTGAAAGAAAGGTAATTCTTAGAAAATAGCTTTGGTCAGCTAACAAACTGGGGTGAAACCTAATTCTTGTTAACTACACAGCAACCCAAATTCCGAAGGTAAAATGGTTACTGAAATTCCACAGCCAATGTAGCTAGAAGTGCTGCTTGTCCCTCATCCTACCCTAAATTTCGGCACCTAATCAACTGAATTCTGAACAGTGACAGATTTGGGTTGAATTCTGACATTGACCAGGGCGATCTCAATCAACCCCTTTTTCAAGTGCTCCTATAAAGATTAACCTAGTAACAATTGATAAAAGACCAAGACAAAAACTGAATATGCCGCATAAACTTATCAACCGAGCCAAATTGATTATAATGTCAATCTCAACCTGTAACACTCATAACATCTGAGCATCCAAATCTAAATTCCTACTTAACCCCACCCAATTTTCTTAACAATGAAAGCAAGAAATTTTGAATTAGTTCTGCTCTATTGCTTTCTTGGTAACCAATAATCATAAACAGGTTAACTAATGGAACACTCAACAACCCGTTTCGCTGATTGACGTCCTAACAGTAGTACCCAACTCCCTAAGTTACTAACCCATTTCACTAATTAAAAGAGCAATGCAATCTACAACTAAAGAGCAATGTAGCTTGATTAACACAGAGCAAATCAACCCTAAACAAGTCCTTACGTAATCAAACAAAACAACACAAAGGATAGGGCACTCACTGCAGATTGGAACGGAGGCGGATCAAGATCCACAGAGCGAATGGACATCTTAGCGATCTCGGTTATGGCTTCCTCTCGAACACCAGGGACGTCACTGGTCAACTCCTCATAGGCAGCCTCAAACGCCTCCTGCCAGAACCTCGGTAATCTGATCCGACGGCTATTAGTGTACACATCCCACATGTGCTCCACCACTTTCTCCCTCTCCTCCATTTCCTACACCACCACCAAAAAAAAAAAAAAAAAAAAAAACGAAATTCCCCATTAACCCATCAAATCAGAGATCCAACCAAATCGACCCACAAAAACAAAACGAGAAAAACTCATACAAGAACGTCGAGATCGTCGTGGATGGGCGAGTCGAAGTCGTCAGAGAGACGATTGAGGTTGCCGGCGGACCACCGGAGCGTGACGGTGCCGGTGAACATGGACCAAAACGCGAGCAACAAAATCGCGGCCAAAGCCCAGAACTTGTACCTGCCTTTGCCGAGTATTAGACCCGAATCCGAGCTATCCTTCTTCCCGCTGCTGGCCGCCGTCGTTGTTGGAAGGCCGTCGTCATCCTTCATTGCGGATTAACCCCCACAAAGATTGAGTTCAATTCAAATTCAAATTCAAACACCCAAAAATCTTGATAATTTTGTGGTTTTATTCTTTCTATATTTGGAAATTGGATGTGAATCTTGTGCTTGCTGTGCACATTGTGAGCGTGGAGGATCCAATCGATGGAGTGTTTGCTTTCCTGGTTGGATTTGCTGTTTCAGGGAAACAAGGCGTGGAGCTTTCTTTTTTTCACAAACAATGAAAGACATGCGGGCCACCACATTTTATAAATTTCGATAGATTTGACATTTAATTGGGTTTGATTTTGATGGGCTGTGGCGGGGGAATTGTGGCCGCTGGATCTCCATTTTGTGCAAAAACTACGAAGGCCATATTTTGTCAAGTATATTTACTTCAAGGCGAAATCGGATTAATGGTTTCTCAAGTATATTTACTTCAAGGCAAAATCTAATTAATTTCCAGAGTGATTGCGTATTCGGAAGATGGTTTTTGTGATAAATTTTTTAAAATATAGACTCTTATGTTAAAAACAATTTAGCAAATTAATTCAAAAGTGAGATTTTTCTCTCTCTCTAATAAATGTCGGGATAAAAATGTCCAGCCTCTTTAGACCTACTTCAATCATTGGAGTAAAACTCAAATTTTAGGTTCTAAACGTATCACTTGGGGCAAATATGAGTTTTAACCCCAAACTCATTTAGACATACTCCAACTCTTGGAGTAAAACTCAAATTTTATGTTCTAAGCTTGTCCAACTTGCTCCAACCTTGTGGCAAATATGAGTTAAATCTAAAACTCATTTCTGGGGCAAATTTAGCCTAGAATTCCACACTAGATTAGTGAGGCTGGCCGACCATATATGTGTATTTTTTAGTTTTATATTTATAAATTCATTTAATCCAACGATTAAGATCTAATTTGATCAAATCAAGTGGTAAAAATAAAAATCTAATGGTTCAAATTTAAATCCAACTGCTAAAGTAATTAAAAAAAGGGAGACTTTGGATGCGGTCCCTAGTTATGAACAATCTTTGACTGAAACTTTGTTGGTTTTCAATTTTTGATCCAAGTCCCTAAAATTAATTGATAATTTATTTCTATGTACTTTACTATATTTTTTAAATTAAAAGTTAAAATTTATAGTTGTTTATATTAATGAGATTTTAAATAAAAAACATAATTTGTGGGATTAAAAATATTAAAATATAAATATACTATTGTGTGTGTGTGTGTGTGTAAACATGGTTACATTCATAAAAAATAACCAAAAAATTATTGTATCAAAACATGGGTACATTCTTCAAAATGGGTACATTTAGCAAAAATAAAAATGGGTACAAATAAATAAAAAAATATGGGTACAATACAAATAAAACTTTAAAAAATATGGGCACAAAAAGAAATTAATATATGGGTACAAATTAAAATTGAAAGGAAAATTGGTACAAATTAAAAAGGGTTGCAAATTAAAAATGGGTACAAACTAAAAATAAAAATATATGATAAAAAATTTAGCCATAAATATAAATATACTAATTGTAACATTTTTAATATTAAATGAATATATTTATAAATAAAAAATATTTTATTATTGAAATAATTAATGATATTATTAATACAAAGGACCTTGATCAAAAATTGAAAAGTAATAAGGTTTTAATCAATAGAGTAGTAAAAATAAGGATGAAACCTAATTACTCCTTAAAAAAAATATTTTATGTGTTTCATATTATTTGTTAGTGTCCCATGAGTTTGTTGGTGTTGGTTTGGTGATTTTTCAATATTTATCGGAATCTAAATATTTTTAGGTTAAAATATTCATAAAATTAAATTAGGGTAGTCCACATAATTTTTTTTTAAAGAAAATTACTTTAAGAAAAAAAAATCCTAAATTCATTTTTTTGTTGTAAATATTATGTGGATGGTCCACATGAATAGTTTGTTACTATTTATGCACAGTATTTTCACTATTCATTTGTGGAAAATTTGTAAAGTGAATAGTGCTTTCTTTTGTTTATATAAAGGAAGAAGAGGAGATGAAGTGAGGAGAGTTCACGGGAAAGATGGGAATGAAAAGAAAGAAAGAAAGAGAGGAAGGAAGGAAGAGGAAGAGAGAGAAGGAAGAGGAAGAGAGAAAATAGAGGAAGATGAGAGGAGATAATAGAGAGAGTTATCTTTGTACTCCTATTATTTCAAATTATAATGAAAGCACCACTGCTGCCCCGAGGACGTACTCTAGTCACACTGACTGTAGAGGAACCTCGTAAATTTTGTGTCTTGTTTCATTTATTCCACTGCACCCACAGTCGATTTTACAACACGTTATCAGCACGAAAAGCTCTCATGTCAGTGGAAAGCACAACACCATAAATCCGGTGAAGTATTATCTACCTCTCACCTCGGTCAGCTAAGATCTCACAGAGTAGAGACGGCAAGCCAGACATGTCAAACAGGGAAGATCATCTTGTTACAAAAATCCATCAACTTTTCTTTTATCACTTTTTCCTTTATCACTCTAACTATTGATGTGCTAATCATTATCCATGCTAGACCTGCAATCTATTTTCTCTTTCGTGGACAAGAAAGATGGAGAGATCTTACAGACAAACAAAGGTGCAGCAAAACAAGCAAAGGTATGTCCATTTTTCGTTTCTCCCACCGCGCCAGAAGCGCCCTACCGAATTCCGGTGCGAATTGAAATTTCCAACAACCTGAAGTCCTCACGAGATAAGAAAACTCGTACCTGACAACTGGTTTCCAGAGATCCAGAAGAATCTCATTAGACTTGGAAACCCAGATCGTGTCGTTCTCAATGGATCTCGAGGACCTCCATAAATCCTCAGTTGTCTGAGATGGTGATGGCATGACTGACTCCACACAGGCCTCCATCTCTTGTGCCTCCGTCAACCTCACTGTCATCTATGTCACTGTGGAGAGATTCTTGTTTTGCGATGCCATGTTCTTTGGACCATGCAAGAACAACGCCAGTCTCTGGTAGCCTTTTTGGATTGAATTGGTTTTGTGTAACCCCCACAACAACCCAGCTGGTACTGGGTTTTGAGACTGGTAGAGACAGACAAAGAAAAGGGGGAAGATTATGGAATATGCATGGCACAATCTGAAAAAGGCAATAATATATGATACCATTTGAAAAAGCAAGAAATAAATAAATAAAATAATAAAAAGGGTTTTGGTGCTATATGAAAAAGGGTGGAATCTTGTTGCATAATGCCGACACAACATGTGAATAAGAAAATAATAAAATGAAATAAAGGTAAAGGTTTTTGGATGGTCTTACACCATCTGAAAAGAAAGAAGAAAATATGTATATATTTATTTATGTGAATGATGTTGGCTTAAAACACTTTCACAAGTTCTATTTATTTAAAGCAATTTATTTACAGTGGGTAGAATTATTACCCTTTGCTTTAAAAGCTTTGATATTTATGTGCATGGTGTTGGTTTAAAGCCCATGTCACAAGTTTTATTACTTTACAGCAATTTATTTATCATGGACGGTTTTACCGCCTACTGCTTTAAGTTTTGATTTATGTGAATGGTGCTGAATTAAAGCCCTTGTCACAAGCTTTAATTTATTTATTGTTCAATTTATTTACTATGGCTGGAATTACCGCTTATTGTTTTAATTTATTTATTGTACTTATCTTTTGTTACAATGAGTATATATAAGACCCAAAGTTCCTTGATCAGATCAGAACCTGCAGTTTCTTGATCCTCATCATATAAAATGATTGGACCCGAAGTTCCATCATACAAAAAGATCAGGCATGAAGTCATTTGATCCTGAAGATCAGGACATGAAATTCCTTGATGAGTACCGTAAGTTTAAAGTACCGCAATGCCTCAACTTAACTATAATAAATGACATAAGAGTCTCAGTTCACAGACTATTAAACAAGGACCAGAAGTTCCTCATGTCCATACTCAAAATGGTTTAGCAGAAGCATTTATTAAGTGGGTGAAATTAATTACCAACGCTCTGCTCATGAAAACGAAATTGCCAATTTTCTACATGGGAACATGTAAACTTTACATGATGCATTATTAATTCGGTTGAGACATATTACCAACCATCAATACTTCTTAGTACAACTCGTGTTTGGGAACCAGCCAAGCATTATACATCTACGAGTTTTTGGTTGTGTTATCTATGTGCCTATTACACTGCCACAACGTACTGAAATGAGACATCATCGCTGATTGGGCTTTGATGTTGAACATTATCTATCATTCAATATTTGTAACCCTTGACTGGGGATATGTCTACTGCATGATTTACGGACTATGATTTTGATAAGACAGTTTTCCCGCCATTAGGGGAGAAAATAACATCGTTCCAGAAGAACGATGAGAAAATATCATTCCAGAAGAATGATGAGAAACGACCGTTCCAGAAGAACGAAGATAATTTGTCTTATTTTGATTCACGAAACAAACAATGAGAAAATGACATTGAAATAATTAAATGATGCAACGAAAGTGATGAAATCACATATACTTACTGCAAATGTGCCTACAAGAATTGATGTCCCTGTTGGACAAAATAATGAGACAGTAAATGATTTATCTATTGCACACCTGAAGCGTGGCAGATTTTTAGACTCAAAAGGTTCAGTTATTCGAAAGAAGAATAATATGGCACTACTGAACTATTGCATTCCCGAAGCATAACTGTTGCATGCCAGAAGCATGACAGTCGCCGCATGGATACACGTCCCAGATAGGACAATCCACAGACATAGGAATATTGATGTCTCATGCATGAAGAATGATAGACGTATAGGTTCCAATGACTCAACTCCCGGAAGTGGAGATTAAAATCTAAGCTCTATAATGCTCAAGAGGAGGTTATGATCCACATTCTCTAAATTATGACTATCCTGGAAGAGATAGCGTCATGCCCTTGAAGAGGCAATGGATATCCAAAGAAATGAAAAGTTTTTATTCATGCGCATGCACATGAGAATATGGGATCACGGATTGATGATAACCAATGGTAATTTTGGTTTTTACAAGTAGCTACTAAATTCATCAATGAGCCGTGTTAATATTGAGTCACGTTCTTTTGTTTGTCGACAAAAGAAAAATTATTGGCCAAAATGGAGAAAGGCAATTCCATTACAATTTTGTAAGAACGTGGACAAATGAACCTATATATATATATATTTGAATACAATACAAATAGCCAAAAGATGTTGAACCAAGGAGGTTACATATCGGCATTTGTAATACACTC